GTGCGCAGAACAAGAGTGCCAATCGGCCCAGCTCTGGACTTCTTCACCCCCTACCTATCCCCCGGCGACCATGGTCGCATCTGGCCCTGGACTTTGTCACTGGGTTGCCCTCTTCTGAGGGGAACACGGTCATTCTGACTATTGTGGACAGATTCAGCAAGTTTGCCCACTTTGTGCCCATCTCCAAGCTTCCCTCTGCCTCTGAGACGTCCAAGATCCTGGTTAGGGAGGTTTTCAGGGTTCACGGATTGCCCAGTGACATAGTTTCCGACCGTGGTCCTCAGTTCACCTCTGCTGTCTGGAAGTCCTTCTGTTTGGCCATTGGAGCTACAGTCAGTCTCACATCTGGATTTCACCCCCAATCCAATGGACAGGCGGAGAGAGCCAACCAGAAGATGGAATCCACGCTGCGCTGCCTTGTTTCCTCCAACCCCACCTCTTGGGTCTCTCAGTTGCCTTGGGTTGAGTATGCCCACAATACTCTCCCTACTTCTGCCACTGGGATGTCTCCCTTCCAGTGCCTATACGGCTACCAACCCCCCTTGTTTCCTTCTCAGGAGAAGGATCTCTCGGTTCCCTCTGTCCAGGCCCACATTCGTCGTTGCCACCGGACCTGGCATCGGGCCAGAAAGGCCCTCCTTCGAGTTTCTGACCGGTATCAGCTCCAGGCAAATCGTCGCCGTGTTCCAGCCCCCGCTTATGCCATCGGAGATAGGGTCTGGTTGGCTACACGTGACCTTCCTCTGCGGACTGAGTCAAGGAAACTGTCGCCGAGGTTCATTGGTCCGTTTGTGGTGGAGAGAGTGATTAATCCGGTTGTGGTTCGACTCAAGTTGCCTAGGACGCAGTCCATCCCACCTTCCATGTCTCCTGCCTCAAGCCTGTTCTCCTCAGCCCTCTGTTGCCCCCTCCGCCTCCTCCTCCTCCTCCTCCTCGGATGATCGGAGGAGGTCCTGTCTACACGGTGCGCCGCATCATGGATTCCAGACGGCGGGGCCGGGGTTTCCAGTATCTCGTGGACTGGGAGGGGTATGGTCCTGAGGAGAGGAGTTGGATTCCTCGGCGTCAGATCCTTGATGCTGACCTCCTTCGTGACTTCTACCGCCTCCATCCTGGCGTTCCGGGTAGTCCGCCCGGTGGCGTTCATCGGAGGGGGGTACTGTCATGAACCCTGCGTCCTGAGTCTGTTCCCTGCCTGTGTTGGCCGTTTTTCTGCTCGGTATCTCCTGTTTTCCTGTAGGTGCCTGAACGCACCCTGTCCGGTTGCCGGGCGACGTTGCTAGGCGGGTGATCTCTCGATTAACCACACCTGCTTCTCATCAGCCTCGGCACACCTGGTCCTGATCATCACCCCTTCTTAAGCTCTGACCTGACATCCATTCCCTGCCGGATCGTTAGCCATTAACAGTATGTTTTGTCAGCGTATCAGCCTCTGAGTACTAGCGTTAGTTTTGTTGTTTTTGCACCTTGTTGACCTGCCTTGTACTTACCTCCGTTTTTTCTGTCTACAGTCATTCTCCCGGAACCTTCACCCAACCCATGCCGTGCCATCATTTAATCTGCCACTTCACCTCCATCTACTCATCTCCGCCACCCGCTCCGTCTCCTGGATTATTCTGCATCTTTTGAATCTGTAAATAAACCCTCACCTTTGTTCAACTCACCTTGTCCTGGTCTGCTTCTGGGTTCTGTCTTAGAGAACCGTGACAATTTTATTGTTTTGAACAAGTACTGGTGGTCCACACGGTCAAAAGCCTTCTCCTGATTCAAAGAAAGCAAACCCACATTCACATCAGACAGTTTACAAAATGTCTAAAACATCTCTTATTAGAAACAAGTTATCAACAATAGAGCGGTCAGGTACACAGTAAGACTGGTCATTGTGGACCAACACCCCCAGATATTCTTTCAACCTGTTTGAGAGACACTTAGATATAATTTTATATTATGCACACAGCAATGCAACAGGTCGGCAGTTTTTAAAAAGAGCCAAAACCCCCTTTTTTGGCAACAATGAAAGCACAGCACGTTGACAGGATACAGGAAGAGAACCCTCATGAAATATTCACACACCACTTCATAAAAATCCCCCCCAATAGACCCCCAAAAGTGCTTACAGAAATCAGATGGTAAACCATTGATGCCAGGGGCTCGGCCTGATGAGAGCTGCATAACTGCAGTGGACAAGCTCCTGCAGAGTAATGCCAGAGTCCAAAGAGCTCTCTGCCCTCAGGGCCCAATTGAGGAGTCCATGTAACAACTGTTCAGCACACAGAGGATCACCAATCTCCACCTGGTAGAGGGTCAGAGTAGAAATCCACGGCTGTTTGGCGCATCTCACCGTCATACATGGTCACCTTCCCATCTGTTTGCGTTGCAATGTCGACTGCGGGACAACCACTTTTTTTTTGAAGGTTATTTTATACATTCCAGGTATTCCTTAAAGAGGTAGGGTTTTCAAGTTGTCCTCCGGAAGTGGTCAGTGCCTCCCTGTCCTGGCGTCGTGGGGGAGCTGTGTTCCACCATTGGGGTGCCAGAGCAGCGAATAGCTTTGACAAAACAACCTCAGCTCATGACTAGTCCGGTGGTCATTCTGAGTGAGCAACTTCAACTCAATAGATTTGATGTCCTGTTCAAGGGCCCTGATAGTCTCTTAATTCAATATTGACAGGCAGTACACTGTTGACAAAACACATATTGGGCCGTCAACCCAAGAACGACCTTCCTTTTACCCCAATTACAACATGTTGAAACAACATATTGGGTACCTCGACAGACATAAACACTACAATTCCTAACCCTCGAACGTTTCACCAACAGTGGCGTCAATGTAACACTTACATTAACAATCAAT